ATATTTTATTTATTTATTTATTTATTTATTTATTTATTTATTATTATTTTTTTTACTTTTGATTCTTTACTTAAGTCAGTAGTACATTGGTTAGCATTTTTTTTAAAGAAATGGAAAAATGCTACTCTAGGTCATTAGTAAAAAGTTGTTTTTTTTTTTTATTAAAAAAGTGTATCTATACATTTTTATGTATGATTTATTGTAGTTTTTAATGGATTTTAAAATTAACCAAGTTTTTGTAAGTTTGTTGATTGTAAAACATGAAATCGTAAATGATTGTTGTTATTCTTTTTGTTGTTGATTTCAAGCAATCTTTGTCTCTCCTTGTTTCTTTCTCATCTCCACTCTTATTTCTGCAATGCATGTATCACTTCTGTTACAGTGATCTTGTGCAAATTATTTGTTTTCTCCAAGGAGGCTATAAAAGCTTCAAATTTTCCTATAATTTTGGAATCTGAACATTGTGTGTTTGGTAGTTGCACCTTATTTGCTATGTCAGTTAATTTATCTAAGTATTCTTCTATCATCTCAATCTCTTTTCTTATTTTATTTTTTTATAACTTGAATTGTCTCACTAAATTTATCTTTTTTCATGTAATCTTCTCATATTCTACATATTCTTCTTCCAAGTAATTCTAAGTTGATTTCATTGCTTCTTTTATGACTTTCCACAAACATAACTTCTAGATATGATTTCATTTTCATTGCTTAAAAATCATAGTTTTGTTTATAAAAGATAAGAGGTAAAATTTATGAGAAGTTCTTTTTGACTTTTTGTCTTCACATGTTCGTTAGAACTTGGCTATGAGTGCTAATGCTAATGGTTTAATTTAATTTAATTTTTTGTTTTGTATTTTGTATGAAAATATTTTTCAAGGAAAGTTTGTTACATTTTTCTTCATGGGCTCTATATATATCGATAAAATCCTATTATTAAAAAGATGAAACAAATCCTAAAGTAATCTAAACAAATTACTAATATTTTTAAATCTAAATATTTCAAGAATAAATAACGTATTTCATTATATAAAAAAAATGTTCCTATTTTATAAAGTGGGTCCTTCCTGTGTGCCTAAACTAGTTATGTTGGCTCTTGTTTTGTAGTACAAGTTGAGGTCGATGTTATTGGAAAAGGTATCAAACTAGACGTTGCTAGGCCCTTTCACCAAGTCCAAGTCGAAACAGACTCCAAAATTGTTCAATTGATCACCGAGGGTTGTTTTCCTAATCGTCCAGGCACAGGTATTGTGGGTCATATTTGGCATGCAGCTAACTCCCTATCTTAGGTTAGCTGGCATCACTCAGAGAGGCCAAACGGGCAAAACTTACATGTAATAATAATATTATAGGCGGTATAAGCTGTCTGATCAAAATTAAAATTTTATCAAAATAATATACTAAATAAATGATTCCACTAAATATTTTTAGATATAACTAAAATAAAACTTTAATTCTGATTAAAAAATACAACCACTATTATCTGTGGTACCATATCAAAATTTTGTACCAAAGTAAAACTCCATTTATTACGTTTAATTCATCATCTCTAAATTGTCTGAATTTTTTAATTAAATCCTATAATAAAAAATAATTATAATTAGATCATTGATCTTTTACAATTATTGTAATAAGATTCCTGGAATTTGTTTAAGATAACTTGAAACCACAAGAAAATTAATTTACTAATAAACACACACAAGCGACACGAGAGAACTATGTATAAACACAGAAGAAAAATATACAAATAGAAGTCGACGCAAAAGTTGTTATGGCAAATGCAAAAATAAGTAATGAATCAAACAGTTGCATTCACCACACGATTGCTTCATATAGATGCGTTTAGCGGACTTTGAAGAAAAGACGCGTTATAGGCCAACACAAGGAATGCTAAATTAATCATTTAGGGTAGCCAGAAGGGGGATATCCTTGGGGAGGATAGGCAGCAGGGGGATAACCAGCAGGTGGATAACCAGGAGCAGGATATCCCTGAGTAGGTGGCGGAGCAGGAGGATAACCATAAGGTTGTCCATAAGCTGGTTGTGGTGCATAAGCTGGTTGTGGTGCATACCCAACTGAAGGAGGAACTGGCTGATCAATGCGTGACATCTGCTGAGAAGGGGGCACTGCCATTACTGGTTGGGGTCCAAATTTCCCATCACGCTTGTCCATCTCAACCTTGTGCTGAGTCTGCAAATAAAATTTGCTTAAGTGATAGTTATCAATATCACGCACACAGCACATCAATTAACTATTTCAGAAATAATTAACAAACTTACCTGCATGCATGCACACACCCTAGAAATGAGAAGAAGAAGAAAAAAATTAGTAGAAATGCCTTCCACTATAAAGTGCATAATTTATTGAGACTTCAGAGAGACCAGGAAGCCTTACGTGCAGTACACAAAGTCAGCCAAACAAGATAGCAACTGAGAAGCCTCTTGAATTTCATCACTTCCCACAATCATGGCAACAATAGAGAAAATACATGCTATTTGTTGAAGGCAAAACATGAAACCCTAAACAAAAGAATTACATATAATTAACAGAACATCATCGAAGAAAAAATTCTTGCAAGTGTAAAGGATAGAGAGAGAGAGAGAGAGAGAGTACAATAATGCAGTTATCACATTGCGTAGTTTGAATGTTAAACTCATCTTGCAATAGAAAGCGAGTTGAGGCGACTGAATTTCCAAAGCAGAGAAAAACCTGAAACAAAGATGCATAACAATAAATATAGCATCTGTCAATATATAAATATAGCAACGCTATCCGAAATAACAACAAAACTCAAGAACCACAAAACCAGCTCCAACGGAATCCTGCATGCTCTTCATTTAATTGCAAATATCAATTTATAAATAATTCCTACATGCTATTCTCTAACACCCAAAATTTAGATAAAGCAACCATTATTTGCTCTAATTCTAGTTTCGGTGCATTTTCATTTTTTTCAACAAGGCAACAACTCAACGACTTCAAAAGGAAACAACAGTTACATATAAATGAATTATGACTTGATAAATGAAAGAGTAAATTATCATCCCCTAAGAGATAAGAGAATTAATTATCTTCTCCTCTTATATTAAAGTATACACTTTAATCCATTTAACTTAAACGTTATTAATATAAATTACACTCTCCTCCCCTAAAAGAAGTATTATAATACTTTCTACATATGTTTAAATATTAAGTAAATTAAACTTTTATCTCTAAGAGATATAATTACTATACTATCACTCTCCTAATATATTAATTTAGTGTATTTAACTTAACATTGTTAAAGAATAATTACTATAAGATTTTAAAATATACTTTTAATTTAATTATTCATAAAAAATATACTTTTAATTTAATTACTTATAAAAAAATATACTTTTAATTATTCATTGTCATTCATTCACTAGATTAAATTTTTTTTCCTTCAAATTTTTTTAATATATAATTAAATTTAAATTAATTTATTACATAATAAATAAAATAGAAACTATAAAATCAATTATAAATGGATACTTTATATATATATACACACACACCAATTTATATATAATATAAATTAGTAAATATAGAGGAGGGATCCTTTTACTCCAAGAGTAAGTCTACCTAGACTTACTCCGTTCAATAACTCATGTTCTACATCAAATTTCAATGATCCAACCGTTCAATTTAAAATTCTTAATACATAGATCAAATCTACAAATTTTTAAAAAAATTGAAAATTATTTGATACTTCGTTTCATTAATTCAAATTGACGGATAATCATAAAATCACTTTATACATTGATTCGAATTAATGAAACGAAGTATCAAATGATTTTCAAATTTTCTAAAAATTTGAAGATTTGATTTATACATTAAGAACTTTAAATTGAACGGTTAGATCGTTAAAATTTGATGTAGAACATGAGTTATTGAACGGAACAAATCTATGTAGACTTACTCCAGAATAAAAAGATCCCTCTTTGTATATATATCAAATTTGTTGTTTACTTAACTAAATTAATTTGCAATACGTTTCTGTACTGGTCAGCCGAGTTGCCGACTTGTCCCTCACCAATCTGCTGACTCGATCAAATGTTTACCAGCCTAACCAAGCAGTAAGCTCATTATTGCCGAGCTCCTCAGCCCGACCATGAAACATGGACATCGGAACACCACATCGGCCCAAAGAGGCCACGTCATCAAAAAAATAAAAATACAATCTTGTCACCGCGCTGCCCACGCGTTATGGGAACGAGGTGACGGTTATGGGCGTACGTGAAAAGTCACGACCCCTTGTCAAGCTCGGTCTTAACTCCGTAGACCTACGGTCTTATTTAAAAACATTTAATATACATATTTCATAATTATATTAATTAGATATAATAAATAATACTTTATCATAAAATACTAGTTTATCTAGATATTATTAAAATATTTAATTATTACAAAAAAAATATATTTTTATGAGTGACATCAATTAAATAATACCTTAATATTAATATATTACTTTTAATATATATAATTATAATTAATACTATATAATGAAAGTATTATTTTATTTAAATCTTTATAAAAACATTACATTAACTACATTGATTAAATATTATCTTAATACTTGTGTTTGGTTTTATGAAATTTATATATATTATTTTTGTTTAGATATGTAACTTAAAAAATATTTTTGTAAAAATAATAATGAAAAATATTTGTTTAAAACATAATTAATTTTAGCAAAATCATAATAATTTTTAAATAATAAATAAAGAGATAAATTGTGAAAGTGTAACATATTTGAATTTGTTAAGGAAGGAAAATGTTTATTTTAACACAAGAAGAGAGGGTAGTGTAACATTTACATTTTAAAGGATATTAGTCTAACAGTAATTTAGCAATAACATCTTTATAGCGAAAGTTAATGGACTTTTAATGAAAAACTTTAAAAAGTAGGTAAAATGTTATATATTGGAATCTGTCAAAGGAGATAACCATAATTTTTAACTTAAGGAAGGATAATGTAATATTAGTATCTCTCAAGGGGTGAAAGTGTAATTTACTCTAAATGAAAATGAAATCAACACTTTACTCAAGTATATAACCTTCCTATGTCTTCTTTTAACCTTGAAACAAAGGGTTCAATTCAACTTACAAAGACAAATTGGTGAAAAACACCCCTGGGGACCACATTCCCCATTTTGAATTTTGAATAAATTTCCATCGGAAACCATGTCAGAAATCCTCATTTGAATTGATCATGAACCTTTTCAAAATCTGTTAAAACCTCGAATTTCCTTCTTTCAAAACCTTGTCCTATTCAGGAATTTTCAATAAGATCTCTATATTATAAGCCTGGAATTGAGTCCCTAGTGTTCCAAAAATTCCTAATCAGATACTTAGCAGAAGAACTCTATCAGTAGAGGTCCAATTATAAACATTAGAACAATAAGCCAATTGCATGACATTTGGGTCCCTACAATTTTGAAAATTTACTGGGTCCCCAAATCCAACCTACAGACAGAAACTTATAACGGTTTAATTGAAAATTCCCAATTAGTACAAGTACATGTAGACTTATTTAACATTAAATACTCAACTACTTCGTTTGCAACTGGCCTGCATCTAAAATCCGCCTAGAGCCTGCCTTCTCCACATTCCAGAGAGAGATCAAAGAGTTTGCTCTGATGGCTAAATATTTTAAACAATCATTTACCCTTAACAGTTAAGAATTAACCATTTTTAGATGCAGCCGTGCCATCTACATATAGACTAATTTACTAGCCTAACCTAACCATAAAATCCTGCATACACATTTTCTTGCATTAATTCATACCCTAGCCATATTTCAGGTCTTCAACAATTATTACCTGTGATATCCCGTCATAAATTGGACTAAAAATCTAATATCATGCAATGTTCAAGGCATCACCAGCCCAAACTGACAGATAGGGAGGGATGACATACTGCCACAATATCAGGTATATATAAAAGGGAAAGGAAACAAGTACACATTTTTATACCTCAGTGCAAAGGCAAAATTCCGGACATCTACTTTCTCCACACCTACCACTGCAGGGCATGTAACCAGCACAACATGTGTATCTGGAACAAATAATAAGACATATATCACACAAACAGACCATGTAATTATTTTGGGATCTTGGGAAAACGGAAATAGTATCAATTTACCTTGACATGTCATCGTAAAGAGCTCGTTTCCGAAGCAGGTAAGACACGCATGGCGCACTATAATGGGACAAAAGAAAATTAGATTACTTAATGCAAAAAATGAATTAAATTTATGCCTCCAATGCATATCAATTAAAATTTTGATCCAACTGAAAGTGCATCGCAGATATAAAACAAATACACAAATCAGGTCATTGAAATAACAAGCACACAAATGAGAGATCAAATGCGGAGACAGGTTATACAAGATGCTCATAAATAAAATTCAGGTAAAAAATTATACTTGCAAATGGAAACCAACCCAAACCACATGTCATACGACACAGGACCGTGTTTAATTTTTAACCTTAATTATGGCATCCATGAGAAGGCTTATAAGGTAAAGGTATCACAGAAGACATAGGATGCAATCCAACTGAAAAAACTGAGAAAAACACCTAAATTCATTGAACATAGTAACATACAATAAAACCAAACTCCTGCTTTCTTCCCTGTAATGAATAAATAATAAAGCATTAAATAAACTTTTAATCCTTAAAGTTCATTGAATTTCATTTTTACTCAAAACAAGATTTTGATCATTCTTAGTCCCTAAAGTTTTTCTCCAACAATATTTTTGGTCTCTGCCGTTAGGTAGAGATTACATAGCAGCTACATCGCCTATCACATCATTAACTGGTCTGGCTTGACAAGCGCATGTAATATTTTTTTTTTGGAAGTTATGTTTTTAATCTCTCATATTTGCACAAAATTCACTTTTAGTCCCTCAACAATTTTTTGACATGTCTTAGTCCCTCATATTTTTATGAAATTCACTTTTATTCCCTCAACAATTTTTTGACCACTTTTGGTCCTCTAACTATTGTTAATCATTATGGTAGCTGCCCAATGATTTTCTTGAAAGTGCAAAAAACTTCCAAAAAAGAGTTTGAAAAAATGAGAGAAAAAAAAACCAAGGGTTCAAAGACTAAGATGGAAAAGTTTAGCGTAATTTTTTTTTTTTGATAACTGAGGTCAAGAATTGGAGATCAAGGAGGGTTTAAAGATTGGGGTTCTATAGTTTTGGTGCTTGGAGTTTTGATTATGGGAGCAGTGATTTGTGATTTTGATCATCTTGTTGATTTTACTTATCGTGGGTTTGTGTTTTGGTTTAGTAGGCTTTTGATTTGTGTATTGAGGGTTGAAAAACTAAGATCAATAAAAAATTGAAGGACTAAAAGTAAATTTCATGAAAAAATAAGGGACTAAAACCACTAAAAAAATTATTTAGGAACAAAAAAATAATTTGTAAAAAAAAAATAAAAATACACATGGCTATTTGACAAAGACAAAAAATGTTAAATGAGGAAAAGTTTAGAGACTATAGCCAGTTAAAAAAAAAATAGGAACTAAATGAAATTTGAAAAATGTTTAGAGGCTAAAAACGTTTAATCCAATAATAAATAATAAATCTTTATCAGCTGGCTACTTGAAGAGACAGATACAACAGATCCTCAAAAACTCAGAAAGATAGATTCTTTAGGCATACAAACTAATTTCCAATAATTCACAACTAAAATATCACAATATTTATCATTCAATATAGTATTAAGCACTTCCCACAACACTTTGTTCCATATGCCATCACACTGTATTAAAATCATCGAATTCTCATAAAAACCGTTCCCGTGTTGAGGTTTGAGGTTTGGCACATAAGAAATAGTAATGATAGGGGAACTTCGCTTAGGAAATGATACTGACACATGCCATATTCCTTAAACACTTATCTCCTACCTTCCGAGCATTGTTTCTCTATCTATGCCTTACTACGTGAATATGAATTTTTTCACCATTTCTTCCTCAGATCTAAGATCTAAAAAAAATACATAATTAAACTAATAATAACACGGACCATTTTGAACAGAGTGCGGAAACTACTTTAAGCAGAACCTCGAGTTACTTCGTCAGTCAATGTAAGTCAACGCTAATCCAAGATCTATAACGCGGATAAACAGCAAAAATTGAAAATGAAAGATTCGACTCCTCGTCGAAGCCGAAAAAAAATAGAGGAAAAAGAACAATTATCAGATCTACAGAAGCAAAATTGATTAAAAAATGGCCTGAGTGAGAGAAAGTTCCAGATCACATACCACCACAACGCGAAGCAACAATCTGCGTAAAATCGAGTTTCGAAGACGACGTCAGGGTTAGATTTAAGCAACCGAAAATTGAAAAGTGATAGTTGTGAGAGTGTCCTTACAAGGAGTATCGGCCTGAATCGTTCTCATGAGATCGGTGTGCCACAAATTCCGGTAATTCTGACGCGCCTGCATCTTCTCGATGTGCTCCTGCGACGCCATGGCGACTGTTTGTGGTTGCTGTTGAGCAGAGTGAGAAAAACCCTAGATCGGTCCTTTGAGAAATGCGGATGCACTGTGGTTATATATAACAGAGAGGAGGATATCTTGGTTGTCACGTTGAAAATGAAAATGAAAATGAAGGAAAGGAAGAGCGAGAATCCGCGTGGTTTTGGGTTTTGGGTTTTGGGCGTTGAACCTTGAAGCAGGCGAATGCTAACTCCAATTGGTCTATGTCTGAGCCTGTGTCAAGGAATGGAAAGGCCAAATAGGCATTAATTATTTATTCGCCAAATCACCTTCTAAGTTACCTTTTTTTTTTTTTATTTTACCTTTTTTTTAATGAAACTTCTTATAATAGTATCAAATAAAAATAATATCTAAAGTAATATATAAAAGAGATACTTTTTTTTAATAATCACTTTATTCTTTTTTTTTTGTTATCATTATATTTTTCTATTTTAAAAAGTTAAAAAAAATTATCAAATTTAAGAACTTAAAATTAATAGATTAATTATAATATTAATTAAATTAATATCCTTTTTATTTAATTTTATTTTTATTTTTATTTTTAATAAAGACATAAAATGTCGCGACTTCACTGGTGTATAATAAATTATTTAATTTTGACATACAGCATCATTTACTTAAAATTATTTCAACTTTATAAATTTTTTATATTATTAATCACTCATAAATTTTATATATTTAAAATTTATTAATTTTTATAATAGTTATTTTAAAATAAATTATGTTTAGCTTACGGTATAAAATCGTTGGTTAAAATATTGTAATTGGTCTCATTATTAGAATAAAAAAATTAGTGAAATCATTGTATTAATGAGGAGTTAGAATAAATAAATAAAAACTTAAGATCTACCTTTAATAAATTTATCGAAAGAGTTCGAATTTATATATTAAATTTAAAAGTGTAAAATCTTTTATATTATCGATTACTCATAAATCATAATAGGTATGATTTAGATAAAATAAAAATTTAATTAACTTAGTATATATGATAAATTTTGATTTTTTTTTCGTTCCTGGAGTATCCACACTAATCTCCTCGCGAGGTTGGAGGCACCTCGAAGGGTGGGATAACTGGCCCTAAGATTTAACGCGTTTGCATACACAAAGTAGAATTCGAACCCCCCAATATTTAACACGGTTGCATACACAATGCAGGATTCAAACCTCTGACCTTACTTAAGCATGGATCAACCCCTATTAGGCATTAATTATTTATTCGCCAAATCACCTTCTAAGTTACCTTTTTTTTTTTTTATTTTACCTTTTTTTTAATGAAACTTCTTATAATAGTATCAAATAAAAATAATATCTAAAGTAATATATAAAAGAGATACTTTTTTTTAATAATCACTTTATTCTTTTTTTTTGTTATCATTATATTTTTCTATTTTAAAAAGTTAAAAAAAATTATCAAATTTAAGAACTTAAAATTAATAGATTAATTATAATATTAATTAAATTAATATCCTTTTTATTTAATTTTATTTTTATTTTTATTTTTAATAAAGACATAAAATGTCGCGACTTCACTGGTGTATAATAAATTATTTAATTTTGACATACAGCATCATTTACTTAAAATTATTTCAACTTTATAAATTTTTTATATTATTAATCACTCATAAATTTTATATATTTAAAATTTATTAATTTTTATAATAGTTATTTTAAAATAAATTATGTTTAGCTTACGGTATAAAATCGTTGGTTAAAATATTGTAATTGGTCTCATTATTAGAATAAAAAAATTAGTGAAATCATTGTATTAATGAGGAGTTAGAATAAATAAATAAAAACTTAAGATCTACCTTTAATAAATTTATCGAAAGAGTTCGAATTTATATATTAAATTTAAAAGTGTAAAATCTTTTATATTATCGATTACTCATAAATCATAATAGGTATGATTTAGATAAAATAAAAATTTAATTAACTTAGTATATATGATAAATTTTGATTTTTTTTTCGTTCCTGGAGTATCCACACTAATCTCCTCGCGAGGTTGGAGGCACCTCGAAGGGTGGGATAACTGGCCCTAAGATTTAACGCGTTTGCATACACAAAGTAGAATTCGAACCCCCCAATATTTAACACGGTTGCATACACAATGCAGGATTCAAACCTCTGACCTTACTTAAGCATGGATCAACCCCTATTACTAAACTACACCCTTGAGATTATAAATTTTGATTTAGTACTAAGAGTTTAACCTCGATAATACATTGTTAATGCAAAATAAATTATATTATAAATTAATCACAAATCATTTAAAAATAATTGTTTTTTTTTAAATAATAGTATAATTGTTATGATAATTATTATAAAGTACAACAATTTTAATATACATATCAACGAATGACAGTATAAAAATCTTTTATATTATGAATGTATGTATTTATACATCTATTAATACGAGTAGATTGCGTGTAAAAAATATTTGCAGTATTAATATATAGATAATTTTCTCAAATTATTTATCAACCTATGCATAAATTATTATTTACTCTTATAATACGAAACTTAAAAATAATAAATGAGAATGGCGTTACCTTTGAATGAAAGAATGTCGACTTCTAGAAATGTGCGCCGCTGAAATTGAAAGGCCACTACTAATTATTTTTTCATTTTAATATATATATA